ATTCCTTAATTAATTAGTATTTGATGGTAGCTCTAAAGAATAAATGAAATCTAATGAGTTCCATAGTCTGTAACAGCCTCCAATAAATAATGAAGAACAGGGTAATTATAAGCATGCATCAGAACTTGACATGACTTTTTAATGAAATGCTGGCTTATCTAATACTCAAGAGGGGTCATTGATCAAAGTCCCCAGATGTTAAACTGATGCAAATTTAAAAAATTCTGGTTTTTTTAGAGAACACTGTACTGCTGTGAATTCAGAATAACAGCACATCAAGCTAAGTAAGTTACTTTAATATACAAATTATTTGGCTAATATTTTGCCAATGAGTAACAGATGATCAAAATACTTTTTTTTTTCATTATTCCTGAGGTGTAATATTCAAAATAAAAAAAAAACAACAAAAAAACAAACAAAAACAGAGCACAGTGGTATTTTGATTTTGGTCCATGAAAACAGCGCAACGGAACTTGCTGGCGCTATATAAATAATAAAATAATAAAAATAATAAAACACTAGCATTTATAAAAACAAACAAACTAGCTAAACACCACATTGCACAAATTCAAGCAACAATATTCCAAACCGTAGCTAAAGTGTACATTTTCAGAAATTCAAAGTGAATTTCACACTTTAGATCAAAAAAGCTTAACTGAAAACATAAATAATTTGACGATTTTTTTGTGTCGAATTTGCCTGTTTTGACCTGAAACTTAAAATTCATTTTAAATACATTGTGAATTTGTCAGAGTTCACACTTGAGTAAATAATTCTGAACGAGTTGCGTGGAGTTGAGAGCTATCTTACAACATTTAGGCCAAAAAAAAAACCTACACAGAAAATGTAGGGTAAAATGAACCAGGAGCTGTTTTTGAGTTATTTCTCAACTCACTGTTTTGTGGACAGAGCCACGTTTGAAGAATGAAGCCTTAAAAAGCAAAGTTAAATCACAGGCAAATTGATTTTTTTTCTTCTGATCAGCACCAAAGCTCCCTAGCAATCTAACAGCCAATATTAGTATACACATCACATTGTTTGGAACTGAACAGATCAGTTGAATACACTGTTGTGCTATTTCAGATTTTCTAAATAACAGCAAGTGTGTTTTAAGAGCTGGAATAATTATTGGGGAATTTTCCAGTTCAGTGAATCAAAAATTAGTGATTCCTTTGTCCATCCTATACGATGCCCATTTTAGTGTAAGTAAAAGTTATTTCCTCTCTAGAAGTGTATGGAATAAGCGTAATAATTGGATATTGACCTCTGCATTGCCAACTTGCGGCGTACATGACTATAACAGTGGTTATATACACTTAAAGTAGAAATGACATAGAAACATAGAATGTGATGGCAGATAAGAATCATTTGGCCCATTTAGTCTGCCTAGTTTTCTAAATACTTTCATTAATCCCTGGTCTTATCTTATAGCTAGGATAGACTTAGGCCTATCCCACGCATGCTTAAACTCCCTCACCATGTTAACCCCTACCACTTCAGCTGGAAGGCTATTCCATGCATCCACTACCCTCTCTGTAAAGTAATACTTCCTGATATTATGTTTAAACCTTTGCCCCTCTAATTTAAGACTATGTCCTCTTGTAGTGGTAGTTTTTCTTCTTTTAAATATAGTCTCCTCCTTTACTGTGTTAATTTCCTTTATGTATTTAAATGTTTCTATCATATCCCCCCGTCTCATCTTTCCTTAAGATCCTTTAACCTTTCCTGGTAAGTTTTATCCTGCAATCCATGAACCAGTTTAGTAGCCCTTCTCTGAACTCTCTCCAAAGTATCAATATCCTCCAGTACTGCGTACAATACTCCTAGTGAGGTCTCACCAGTGTTCTGTACAATGGCATGAGCACTTCTCTCTTTCTACTGCTAATACCTCTCCCTATACAACCAAACATTCTGCTTGCATCTCCTGCTGCTCTATTACATTGTCTGCCTACCTTCAAAGGGATCCTATAGTGACAGAAAAACAAAGTCGTTTTCCTGACACCATAGGGTTAATAGGTCCCCCCTCACTCTGGACCCCCTGTCCCTCGGCGCTGGCTGAGGCTCCGCTGACGCTCCTCCCCTGCCAATGTTAGCCGGCGGGGGAGTCCTTATGCGCATGCGTGGCAATGGCCGAGCACGCATTAGACCTTCCCATAGGAAAGGATTATTCAATGCTTTCCTATGGGGAAAATCTGATGCTGGAGGTCCGTGAGGTTGTCCAGCGTCAGATAACGAACCAAAAGTCTGTTTGGATTCCAGAACCCCTTTAATGGCTGTCTGTTAGACAGTCACAGAGGGCAGACTTAGAGCTGTAATGTAAACATTGCCGTTCTCTGGAGTGCAAAAGGGTCTCAGCACCCAGACTACTTCAATTAGCCGAAGTGGTCTGGGTGCATACAGTGTCCCTTTAAGTCATCTGAAATAATTATCCCTAAATCCCTTTCCTCAGATGTTGAGGTTAGGACTCTATCAAATATTCTGTACTCTGCCCTTGGGTTTTTACGTCCAAGATACATTACCTTGCACTTATCCACATTAAATGTCAGCTGCCACAACTCTGACCATTTTTCAAGTTTACCTAAACATTTGCCATTTGGCTTATCCCTCCTGGAACATCAACCCTGTTACATATCTTAGTATCGTCAGCAAAAAGACGTAGCTTGCCATCCAGACCTTCTGCAATATCACTAATAAAAATATTAAAGAGAATGGGTCCAAGAACAGATCCCTAAGGTACCCCACTGGTAACTAGACCTTGCTTTGACATACAATACAAATCAGGTGTGTAAGTCAAGGTAATACTGCACAGGTAAGATATTGAGATATTATTTTATTGTCTTTTTTGATTGCAGTCACTGATAAACCCATTGTATCGAATAACATAATATAGCTACCGCCATTACTGTTATTGGAACTTAAGTTCTGTTAGGACACTCACCTTGGTATTGCAATTAGTTATCACACCTACTTCTCACTACTGGATCTGCTTCATACGAATGCTACATAATGAGTTCCCATAAGGGGGTCTACTCACTATTCAGCTTGATAACACACTACAGTGATTTGGGAGCCAACCTGCTAAATCTAGGCTAAAGTAAGAGAGTCAGGAAAAGTTCCCCAAATTCTGAGATTTTGGAAATCCATTCTCACATCAACATACATTGTGGTGCAGGGCATTTATTGTCAGTATTCACTAAAGAGTGAAATATAGCACAGCGCTACGGAATCTGTTGGCGCTATATAAATAATAAAATAATAATAATAATAATAATAGCATTCTAAGAGTGATATATAGTATAGAATTTGAGAAATTTGGAAAGAAACATGACTTGGATACCTTTTTTTTTTACCTGTTTTCCCCACACACACATTTTCTTATTTTATTTTTTTTCATTTTACCACCAAAAACACTGTTTAACATACAATCTCTTCAATATAGTAAGTTCAATGGATAACTTATTCTTTTAGTTTTAGTGATTTATACGAATAATAGCCCTCACAGATGAGAAGAGAAAAAAATTGCTAATTTGGGAATTGTAAGGAAAATAATGTGATTTTCAGAATTCAGGCCACAGTTGCTGAATTGGATATCTGAAATCTCCACGTCAGCTTTGATTCAGTTTGGCTACTTTGGCCTAAAACGTAAAATTCACTTTGAATTCCTGACAATTCACACTTTAGTGAATAAGCCTTTAAGTATCACTTCCATTCCATTACAAGAAACATACTCTGCTGCCCATTTCATAGAGTGACTGTTCTCTACTTGTCTGAAAGAAGGGTCAACTAGGTTTAAAATTTAGCAACTCTTCACTGGTGACATTTAAAAAAAGTTACTTTCAGTGGTTTAGTTGCTATAGAGAAGATTTAGAACTGAGATGCAAAACTTCTTAAATTTGTCTACTTTGGCCTCAGCTTTCCAAATAGCTTTTCAATTCATCTCAAGCCACCATACAATAATAACACACTAAATATATTCTATGGATCGTAGATTTAGTACCCAATGGCAGCAAACCAGCATTTTTTGTTGACTTGACGCAGATGTTCAGCTTTTCGTTACCTCTTTCCATCCCGACTTTACGGGAGATAACATTTAAAATAGAGGACATACGATTGGTGGATAAGCTCACAGTGGTAGTTCATGGACAGAGAACAACAAGTATCAAAAAGTGTGGTGACTTTGGGAAGAATGTCTTGCGTGAACTATGTAAAAGGGGGCAGGATAGTAGACCCCCACAGGGGGTGACTAAATGGTTGCCCATAGCTTAGGTTATTTAAACTTAAGTGTACCCACTGGCATGTACCACAAGGAATTTTATCTTGACGTTTTTGTCCATTTTGATTCTTTTACTTTTATTTGTAAAAACATCATGTCCTATGTTACTGTGATGACTATGATGCCTCATTGTCAAAATATAGAATAAAACAAATAATAAATAAATAAACCATACGTATTTGTTCAAAAGCACTCACAACTTTGAATAACGACGCTGAAATGCAATAACTATGGAAGAGAACAAACGCCTTTTCTCCTGAACTATTCAATAGCCCCAATAAAGCAGTAGGTTACATAAAAATTTCACACCATAGTGACTCGATTTTGATTTTTTGAAACAGCGATATCATTATTTATTTGACATGAACCTATTTGTTTTGATATCCACAATGACACAACCAATAATGCATGCTGAAATGAATGGACGAAGAAAAAAAAAAAAGAACTTTAACAAAAGCCAGTAAATAGTTTGCATGGAACATTAGCCTTCAGGAAAAGTCAGGTCTTCGCGTTATTAAACACTCATGTTTGTTAATTTACATAAAACACATAAATATTCCAAAAATCCATTTTTTTTTACCCTAGCAATTCCAAAGGTAAAAAATAATCATGTACAGTAAAGAGACTGACTTCCACATGTGCTTTTATTTTAGTTTCAAAGTTGTAATTGTCCAAACTTCCCTTTGAAGCACAGCCTTACAGTACAAAGTATTCCAATATATTGCACAATAGAGAGATGTTTCAAGCTTCCTCTAGTGGTCTCTGGTTTGCTCCTGTTTTACTGTTCTCTCCAACCCTTTCACTTTTTTGTTTTGATGAGTTTTCACGTGCTTGGCTAGGTGGTCACTTCTCATGAATCTTTTCCCACATTCGGAGCACACAAACCTCTTTTCACCAGTATGAGTCCTCAGATGCCTCTGTAGTTCATCTGATCTGGTGAAGCTTTTGCCACAGAATATCCAGTTGCAAATGAAAGGTCTTTCACCAGAATGCCACCTCAGGTGGGCCTTAAGGTGAGAAGTTTTGCCATATACTTTCCCACATCCAGGAATGTGACAGATGTGTTGTTTTTTCTTACCAGGCTCTTCAGTGCCACTAGATGATTGACAGTTGGGACACCTGCATCTTCGACATCTCCTTGCCGTGGCAAGAGGAGATTTGGTTTGCAGAAGAGCTGCAATTTGAGTTTGATACTGTGCAAAGTCAGAATGTCCCAGGACTAACCCTCTCTGGATAGGAAAACGGTGAGGATGGGCAATTGGAGAGTGGTGGGTTACTTGGTTGGCTTGTGTAATGCTCCACCACGGAATATCTTCTGCCGGGTTAGAAGATAATTGTCTCGGCTGCTGATGTATCAGATTAGAGTGACCAGGTACAAACCCATGGATGGCAGATGTGATGGGGGCTCCTGAGGCATAAGGGACAGCAGAAACATAGGACTGACAGTTAGAAGACTGGAAAGCAGCCATAGACGAGGGTAACATTTTAACGGGTGAAAAGTCATATGGATAAGAAGGATCTGCTGGAGGAGTTAAAGGTAGTTCATGTGCAACAAAGGAGGACTGGATATGAGATGAGATCTGATTCTTAGGGGTTACAAGACCAAGTGCGCTGTGAGGTTGAATTCCTCCAGGGGAATGTGTAGATATTTCATTAGTCCATGGATGGAAAATCCTTGATGGAGAACCAATGGTAGGGTCATAAGGAACTTGAAGAAAGTCAGGTGGACCTCCTCCATGTTGCCCAATTCGACTGCAGGTGGCTGCCAAAAGAGCCAAGGGAGAATGTTTCCCAACATCTGGTGAAGCACTAGGAGTTCTGTCCTGTAAAAAAAGAATGCTAGACTTTAGATTTGTTAAATGTTTTATTGACTTTACATGAAAGTAACAAAAATGATCAAGTAAAACATCCATCTAATGCTTAAAGTGGAAAAACTAGATATATTTATTTTAACCACAGTCTGTAAACATAGAAATGGCTCATTAATTTAACAGAATTAATATTGGAGTTTGCAGACTTCTTTAACAGAGTTAGCACTCCACCAGGGGCATTTTGTTAGTTTCAAATATACATTTGCACAAAACTAAATGCAACTAAAATTGTATTCAATATGTATGCAAGCTTTGCTTATAACAGCCACAACATTCACAGACCCAAACTTCTGGAGTTTACTCACACATTTTCACAAGGGTATTTAAAACTTGAGGCCAGTTTTAGTATTTTATCCTAAATATGCAATTCCTTGTCTATTCCCCCTCAATTCCTGTTTAGTAAATAGATTTAAAGGTAATTACATGAACTTTTGAAATTCACACACAAACACAACTCATTCACATTGGGGTTTAATCACTAAATGCCACATTGTAATAAACTTAAATCTGAATTGCAAGTTTGACGAAAATCGCTGATTTGGGGGGGAAAAAATCTTCCACACAGCTATTGTCACAGTTTGACTTTTTTAGTCTAAATTCTGTATTTTGACCTTCGGTTTACTGCCCTTCATTGCTTAGTGAATAAATTAATTAACATAAATATTTAAAATTAGAGAAAACAGCTATACTGAATTAAATTGAATAGTGCACTTTCTAAAGATAAAATAGTACTACTTACTACATTTCTAAATTCATGGGACAAACATCTCCGGAAGAATACACAAGTATGGGCAATGAAGAGTCTCTATTCAATTCTGCCACTAACAAACCCTCAACTCAAAAAAAAAAATACAATATTTTGATGTAATTCTGGGTTATATATCACACCATCCAGCACAGTGTAAATGAGACAAGTATTTATGTTATTGATTATTGTTTTAAAAAAAAAAAAAAAAGAAAAATTGAAAGTCAACATTGTCTTTATTGACTTTAAAGTCCATGCAGACCCTGATCTGTTGCTGCTACTATTAGCCCATGAAACATATAAAAGATGTTGAAGGTTCAGTGATTAACTTTTAAGAAGAGTCCTCCTCATTCTGCTGCATGCAGTTATTCACTGACATATAACAATATACTTATATTATACCAAAAATGGGGAGATATCCTGTTGGGTTAGAATATCATCTGAGGTCAAGAATTCCAAGACCCTGGCTGAGATTAGTGGGCATTGCAGTCCACAAACACTGGGAATCCAAGAAGTTGCCTGTTTCTAACAATGATGCAGCTGGTCCTGTTACAATTAGTTTGTTTTTTAATTTTTAGGTAATGATCCTGTTCATCAATGAATGAGATACTTAATATCACAGACTGACCTGTAAAAATGTCTGCAGAGGGTCATTCCTCAGCACTGCCACTGCTGCCATGGTCCTCCTGGTCCTAAAGCTGGCCAAAGGCTTCTTGCTGTTGAGAGAGGACCCTGTTGGAGAGTCATGGAGAGGACCAGATACTCAGTGACTGTCTCCCCAGCAGGTCAAAGATTTCAGTTTGTTTGTGTTTGTGTTTTTTCCAGGGGGGACAACTTGGGATGGACCTCCTCCCACCTTCCCTCCCTCCAAGCAGCCTCTTGACTGACTGACTACAGCAGGAGTACCTCCAACAATTTGATAAGGACTTTGCCGGGCTGCCAGCCAGTCACAGCCCTGTGTCTATCCCTTTGAAGTTTCCAGCTGCCCAATCATCAAAGAAGAACAAGCTCCTTTCAGAAGCGAAAGCAAATCCTTTGAATCTACAAAGCTCCTACGGAGTGTTTGTTGGTCTGGATAAAAGAACTGATTATTGCAGGGGGTGGAAAGGGAGGTGATAAAGGCGGGACAATTAATGAAGTAATCACTATGTGGGAAATGTATATACACAAATAATTGGATTTTCCTGATCAAAGAGGCCCCCTCTCAGCTCCTGGAGACCCCTCCATAAGGATGCCCAGATCACTGAATCTCCATCCTCTTTGCTACAAAATCCTTAATTATAAAAGAAAGCACAGGGACAATGCATGCCTTTGTTATTTATACACAGAGATACCTTTCCTACCCCCTGATTCTGGCTGAGATTGGGAGATAGACAAAGTAAATTGCTTAGAATTTCTAAAATATACCTGCAGCACATCTGTTCAGCAAAGCAAGGTGATACATTGTACTTAGTAATAAACTATCACAAGTAAAAGCTATCGTTAATAAATGTATTTAAACAGAATCATTTTATAATTACTTTTACTGAATACTGCATATATTTATTAAAAACAAACATCAAGACTACTAACTGTATCAAATCATAATTTAACTAATGTTTTCTAAGCAATTATTTATAGATCTATGCACAATATAGTGGGAGAACAGTATTCTGAGGATTATTAACTAAACTGAGAACTGAGGAGAATTGATAAGGGAGTTTGTAAAAATTTAGGATGTACCAGCTGAATTGGAACCGTACCTGGAATTGAGAATATTTTCTTGTCGGTTCCCCAGAAATCTTAGTTTAGTTAGTAGTAAACCCCTTAACCTCATTAAAAAGTGAAGGAAGAAAAAATATATTGCTGTGTCTGACAGCACATGTGTGCAATGGGTTTTGGTGTGAGAGCAAACTACCACTAATTTATACGCCTAATCGATTATAAAAATAAGATATTTATGATTGCAAGTAGCTAATTTATGTGAATGTTTTCCTCCTTATTTGTTACAGAATTTTTTTCAGCGGTTTTTAAATTTATTTTTTGGTGAATTGCCTATGTGGGGACCAGCATCCCCCATTTTCCAGTGTATAAAAAAATAATAATTGTGACTAATCCCTTTTCAACTTGTGTATACATTGGGGTTTAATCACGAAATAGCTAATTGTGGTGAACTGAAAACGGAATTGAGAAGTGTAGAAAATCAGTGCTTTAAAAAAAGCTAACTTTAAAAATAATTATACATTTTTTTTAAGTATAAACTGATCACTCTCAGCCGGTGAACTATCCCCTACAATTAAGAGCTAACAGAAACTCTTGCCTAGGATTTTTTTAGTTTTTCAGCGTTAGTAATGGAGTAATGGTCCCTAGGTAAGAATCACAGACAACATTGTCTGCACTGATTATAAAATGGGGTGCAAGCTCTAATGGTGACGGTGCATGGAAAGGAACAATAGCAATCTACCAGAGTTATCCACTAAAGTGAGAGTTGAGACTGATCTCAAGCTGAATTTTAAATTTAAGGCCAAATTAGCTGAGCTGGAAGCATAGTTGACTTGGAGAATTATTCTAGTTCGGCTAGTTTGAACTTAAATTTGAAATCCACTTTGATTTCTCACTTCAGTGAATAACCGTGTAAGTCTTAATAGCAAACTGTCTTGCAAAGCATGATGGGAGAGTAGTTCTAAACTTTGAGCACCCCTGCTATAGACACAATCTAAAATGAACTGCTCTACATATATTAGTGACTGCAGAGTTCTAGAGCATCTGCTAAGACTAAGTATTGCTACAGTATAAAAGGTGTTTGATTTTTATCCCAATCCTAGATGTATAAAAAGATAATTTAAACTAGGTGCAATCATTGACTGTTTGTATTATGTGTTTAATTTGAGTTCTGGATATATACTTCCCATTTAAATATTGTAATATTTATTCAAATATGCATTATATGAAATCTTTTTTTGAGAAAAATATTCAAGTCTAAAATACATATGTCCATTCTTTGCTTCACTCTGCTCTTCCATTCTTGTTCCATTGTCCATTCTTAACTTAATTCTACAGTGGACTCTCCAGCTGTCTCTTAACTTTGTCTGACTAAGAGACATGTGCAATTCGTTTCGGTCCGAATTTAGATTCGGACGAATTTTGGTAATTCAGACATTCCAATGCTTCAGACATTTGGACTCTCCAGCTGTCTCTTAACTCTGTCTGACTAAGAGACGTGCAATTTGTTTCCGTCCGATTTAGATTCTGCCGAATTTCGGTAATTCGAACTTTTGGATGCTTCAGAATGTCCGAATTTGCCGAATTTCGGAAGTGTCGAACCGAATTGCCCAAGTGCCGAATTGAGGAAGTCCTTAATTTCAGAAGTGCCAAACCGAATATTTTGCTCATGCACATCCCTACTGACTTCTTTCTCCTAATATTTGCCTTTTTAAAAAATGTTTATACACAACTTTGTCTATATCCAAGTTCTAAAGCAGCTGTTATTAAAATGACTGGTTGCTAAATTAAAACGTTATTTCCTTATTATGAATTTTTGTTACTTAATTTTCTTTAAAATATATATTTTTTTAAATGCACATTATGGGTTAGTTTCCCAGTTTTACATAGTATTGTCTCTAGTGTATATTCAAATTACACTTTTACTGTCAAGTTCATGGTTTTTCCCTAAGGTTTTTCCCTAAGTTTTCCAAAATAGAGGCACATTTGAACTTTAGTGATTAACCCCATATAACATTATCCATATAAACAAGTCACACTCAAAAGCTGCATCAAGACTAAATAATTTCTTGGATTGACCATCAAAGGTTAAATATATTAAAAACTTTCAGGGTGTCCCCTCTAGAAAATTACCAATTATATATATATGAGATATTACCCCATTATCCTACAACTACCTTATATAGAGAGGTATTTGAGTAGCCATTACTTCACAGGTTGCTGCTAGTTTCATCATGGGCTCAGTGTGAAGGATTCTTCAACTGTCAAGCAGCCGAGAAACAAATTATGGAATGTGATTTTTTTTTTTTTATAAATAGAAACATAGAAACATAGAATGTGACAGCAAATAAGAACCATTCGGCCCATCTAGTCTGCCCAATTTTCTAACTACTTTCATTAGTCCCTAGCCTTATCTTATAGTTAGGATAGCCTTATGTTTATCCCACGCATGGTTAAACTCCCTCACTGTGCTAACCTCTACCACTTCAGCTGGAAGACTATTCCATGCTTCCACTACCCTCTCAGTAAAGTAATACTTCCTGAAATTATTTTTAAACTGTTGCCCCTTTAATTTAAGACATTTTGTTGTGGTAGTTTTTCTTTTTTTAAACACAACCCTAATTAGTCAGAATTTAGCTCCCAAAAATAGTTGATAATATTAATTGCTAAAACCATAATTAATTAAAACCTATGACCTTGTTGTTCCTAAATAAGGCCCTTAATTCCAATTCAAATCATTTTCTAACCCTTAGTCATTAATCTAACAGGTCTACAATTTCTGGGCTGAAATTTCGATCCCTTCTTAAATATGGGTGACTTACCTGCCACCATTTCAGATGGGCAAAGTGGGACACTTTAATATTAGGTGTGTGTGTGAAGGTTTGACCAGAGGTGGTTGTTCTGAGACATTTTATGTGACTTACTAATAACAATTTATGTAACTAAAACCAAAACCAATGTGTCTTATTAACACTGACTGATTTCTAAACATATGTATTGTGATTTAAAGACATATTACTGTGAGTATTATTGCCTTTTTGCTCTGGTAATCTCAGGCACATCAACAATATGGAGCTCCTAGAAAAGAGGCACTTTAGGTTATAAAGAGTGGCAGATGGATTTGGATCTTATATAGAGACTGTTCATCTTAAATATGGAAACTTGGGAGGTATGCATCTGATTTTCTCCAATCCATTGATCCTCAAGGCACATCAACAGTCCAGGATTTCATCATTTCACAGTTTTGGCCACTGGAAATACAGTGAAAACCTTGACTGCTGGCCCTTGAGAACTGGGTTGGGAGCCTCTGCTATACCTGTATTGCAATATTTGTGACTGAGCCTTGAAGTCAAGGAGGTCTGATCAATTTGCATCCCCTGATACTATACCTCTAGGGATCGTCAGGAAAGGGAGCTTGTGACTTGGAGAACAAGTATTTAATATCATACCATGTGCCCGCAGTTATAAAGCAGAGGGACGTGAAGGAACTGTGAAAACAAGTCTTCCACATCAAATAAAAGGACGAAAAGACCATAGGAAGACTACCACTGGCCATCCAGACCTCAGAATTAACCCTCAAAGAAGAGAAGTAAGAGTTTGTTTTGCAGCTGAATTAATAAATTCATAAAAAGTAAAATATTTTGTTCATGAGGCATCCTGCGGAGATCCAGAGCGGCTTTTGATGTTTGTTTACGCATTGATTTATGTAGAACCAGTAAATCACTTGTCCTTTGATAATTTTGCCCAAATCCATGACGGTTCGCTTTATTCTACATATTCTAGCCAACATTTTATGTCTGAACTGTCAGGATTTGTATCCAAGTTATTTTCTGTTTCTTTCAAATGCTGCACGTCAAAGATAATATTCATGCTTCAATATTTTACATTTAAAACTTTGATACGTATATAGTGCATGACAGCTATCAGTCCTCATTTCTCATCTATATGCATATAACACTCTGAAAATGCCTACGTTTT